GAGTAGCAACAGTGCTAAACTTTCTCCATTTGTAGACAGTCTGTCTTACCGTGTACACATGAACATCAAGGCATTTGGAGATACTTTTGTAACCCTTTCCAGCTTCATGCAAGTCAACAATTCTTGATCGTAGGTCTTCTGAGAGCTCTTTTCTGCGAGGCATGGTTCACATCAGACAGTGCTTCTTGAAACCAGTAACTCATAACAGGTGTGTGTTTTTAACGGGCAGGACAGCTGTCAGCAACACATCCAATATCATCACACTGATTGGAGTCAAGGTTGGCTCCCTCCTGGCTCCAATTAGCTCTTGGAGACGTCATTAGGCTAGCGGCTCACATACTTTTTCCTCCCTGCTCTGTGAATGTTTACATGTTATGTTCAATTAAACCATGGCAACATGTAATGTTTGTGCATTATTATTTTCAGCAGACTGTGTTTTTCTGTTGTTGTGACTTAGATGACGTTCAGAGCACATTTTATGACCAATTCATGCAAAACTCTGCGTTATCCCAAGGGGTTCACATACTTTTTCTTGCAACTGTATATAGTATATGCTATACATAGTATATATAGTATAGTATTCAGCTGTTTCACATTCAGAGTATTTCAATTTTGCAAAAGACATATTTAAAATGTTTATTCAACCCTAATACAGCACGTTTCCCTAATACAACACATTTCTGTACATTGCTCTTTTAGAGAATGTCCTGTTTACTAAGGCTGAACATAGGCTGAAGAAACACAAAGGATGTGCCAACATAACAAGTATCTTGACAGCAACATTCCTCTGTTTAATGACTGTGTACTTTTAAACCAATCAATAGATTCTTTTTTGTGCTGCCAAAAAAGTATTTATTGCAGTCCTAAATCCTTATCTGTGGTAACATAAACACATTGAGAACTACAGACTTTTCTGCTTAGAGAAGTAAAACCCAACTGAAATAGTCCAGAGAGACAAAATGCCAGTTTGGAAATGATCCAGGACTGGTCAGTTTCCAGATCAAAATTCAGCTAGGTTATCCAAGAAAATCAAAGCACCATACAGTTAGTCTAGACCAGTGTTTCTCAACCTTGACAATTTTAAGGCATGTGGACTTCAACTCCCAGAATTGCTGGCTGTGGAATTCTGGGAGTTGAAGTCCACATGCCTTAAAATTGTCAAGGTTGAGAACCACTGGTCTAGAGGTAGGTGGGCTATGTCTATGGATGGGCATGTGTAATGTTGATTGCTACAAAGAGCCAGTCAAGCCACACTTTCCTTTATACAGACCATATTTCTACAGGATGAACCAATTAGAATGGATTATTTTGAGACATACTTCTTACTTTCAAGTGGATGACTCAGCTTCCTTGTTCTTCTCTTCTCAACTTGTGGTGTCTTCCTGGGTTTGGAACTTACCCAGCTCAGCTTCTGTATCAGCTGACTCAGCCTGCATTGAGCCTGTACCTCCTCTCTTCAGCCAATTCCTGTGGTTGAGGCTGAGGTTCAGATTGGTCAGCCTCTTCTACTTCTGAACCAGAAGACTCAGAGTGATCCTTAACAGATTTACAGATTTAAAAATTAGAAGATTCTACAACCAAGCTGGTACAAAAATAGTACAATTAATTAGTAAGAAACAACTGGATCCTTTCAATCCTATCAATCCAGATGGATTTGAATATTTAGGAATAGTTTATAAAAGGTTGGTGTTAATTTTAAACTGCAGTCAACATCCTTTTCTGTATAATTAAAAATGGAATTTGTGTCATAGCAACTACTTTCATTATCATTGCTTGTAGGAATAAATTCTTGATAAAATGTTATTTTTGTTTTAAGCAATTCTCATCAGTCCCATACCCCCAAAGCCCTAAATTTGTATTTTTCTTGGAACAGCCATATTGCACTGCAACCTACACTGAGTTTGGAATCAACTACTGTCCCATGATCTTCTATTGTATCTTTGAGCATTCTAAAACATCATGGTTATTCTGTTTTTAAGTATAAGAATAAATTTGTTCAAGAAGTGATAAGACAGATCATTTTATTATCATTTTATCTCGTTAAACATTCATTGTTGATCCAAATCCAGGTACTGAAGGCAGCTTCCCTGACAATCTCCTTTGATTTTTATTCCAAAACAATAATGCTGTGAGATAAAATTGTCTGAGAAAAAGTCAGCTATTGAGTTTCATTGCTAAAGGTATTATTTGTCTAGATCTGGATGGATCTCCCTGCTCTGGGTCCAATAATTTAAGCCAGAGGTCCCCAACCTTTTGGGCACCAGGGACCAGTTCCGTGGAGAAAGGTTTTTCCATGGACCGGAGAGTGCATGTTTTTGTGTGCTGCCTGCATCCCGCAGATGGAGCTTTGCTTGTTTGTGCGGACCGGTTGGTGGTATGCCGTGGCCTGGTATTGGTCCACGGACCAGGGGTTGAGGACCCCTGCCTTAAGCAATACATTATTTTGGCTCTCATCCAGATCCAGATAATAATATCTTTTTTTTCAAGATATAAATTTTTTATTGTTTTTATCATAAAAAAAAACACATCACAAGTACATCACAATGCATAAAAACCCACCCCCTACCCCCCACCCGGACTTCCCGAACCTTATCCCAGGATACTATTCAACTAAAAGTAAACTACTATTAATATCCCTAACTCCACAAAATATTATTCTACATAAGAAGGTGAAATATATATAAAAAAAAGAAACACATTATCTAAAAGCCTAGATTATATTCCACCATTCTATGCTTATTTTGAATATAAACAATCCATCTTCTCCATATTGATAAAAATTGTTCATTTGAGTGATTCTTGAAATAAGCCGAAATTTTTGCCATTTCAGCAAGATGCGAAACCTTCAATCTCCAGTCCTCCATTGTAGGTAAAACTTTACTCTTCCAATTTTGAGCTATCAACAAACGGGCAGCAGTTAAGCAATACAACATCAAGTTCGTTTCTTTTACATCCAAACCTTGTGTAATACCTAGGAGAAACAACTGAGGCAAGAAGAAAATTCTTCTTTTAAAAATTTGCTGTAAGTTCCACCACAATTTTATCCAAAAAGCCTTAATAACCTTGCAAGTCCACCACATATGAAAAAAAGTTGCATCTTGTTGTCCACACCTCCAGCACTTGGATTCATAATTCTCATAAATGCGAGACATAGTTGCA